TGCTAAAAAAGACTAGGCACTCGAGATGGAACTGTTTAGAACTGGTAGATCTGCACACAGTTTTTCCTAACCTGGTGGCAAGTGTTTATGAATATCTAAGTTGGGATTTTAAAAATCCAGGGCAATAGGTTAAGAAAACAGTCATTGCCTCAGATTAACTGATGTTAAACCAGTAACAGTATGTCAACTACTGCTAATTTGAGGCCCCATTTCATTTATTATTCTGGTATAAGAGACCACATTGTGCAGCATTATGGTAATAATGACTGTTCATTCAATTACTTTGGTACGTGGCATGTGAGCAGTTTGTAAATCTGAGCATGCTGGTCTGTTCTTCCTGGGAATGAAGTTTCATATGGTAGTTTGAGTGACAAACATCTCAGAGCTTGCTCACATTCCTCTGTGGAATAGTCACTTCTGAGAGAAAGAGGTGCGGCTTCGTGGTCTGGGAACAGCACTGTCAGCCAGGAACACAGAGTTCTCATCCTGGAACTAGTTCTGTTTTCTTTATGGATCAGATCATGCTAATGAGCCCTTCTAGGACTCAGTTTACCAAGCTTAAAAACTGGTTAGGAAAATCTAATTAACTGGGATACACTGAGCATTAATGAGTGGATGGATATCTATTAAGTGATTTGAAATGAAAAGTGATATGAATGTAAGGAAATGTTATTTTCATAAACTAAGTAGTTTTATGAAGTAACTTAAAGAACAGTTTTGTTATTTGAAGGAAATTACCCCAAAATAAGAATTCATTTTAATGTTTGAATAGTTTATTTTAATTTTTCTTTTCTTTATTTTTCAAATATGGTTTATTGATTTTTAGACACAAAAAGGGAAGGAGAGGGATAGAGAGATAGAAACATCAATGATGAGAGAGAAACATCATCGATCAGTTGCCTCCTGCATGCCCCCTACTGGGGATCAAACCCGAAACCTAGGCATGTGCCCTGATAAGGGTCGAACCTGTGACCTCTTGGTTCCTGGGTTGGCACTCAACCACTGCCACACCAGCCAGGCTATTTTATTTTTTCTAAATAAATATTTTTTTTACCTTAAATATTTTCCTTTAAGTTAACATGCTAAGTATTCTATGTGATGATGCAAATAATTAAATTTATGATTAGCTTTCATTTAAACATAAAGAGGTAATCTCTTTATTCTGTATAGCAAAGGGAAAACTCTTCCAAAGTTACATGCACTATAAGAATATAGACATTATTAACCTTAATGTTTTAGAGAAAAAATTAGGATCAGAGAAATGTATAGTCCACCTAGAGCGTGAGTAGGGTGGTATAATGAACTGCCTATTTTAAGTGATAAAGGCTTCCAAGAGTAAGATGCACATCCCAGAAAGAGAAAACTGTGCAGTAGTGCCCAAACAAAGTGGGGGTAGGGAGGCCTAATGACTGAGTAACTGTGGTGTTCTATATCTGAAAGATTAAAAAAAAAGAACCAACCTCAAATGCAAATGCTCCATTCTGGTGGCTCAGATGGTCAGCATTCCCCTACCCCAAATCCAGACTCCCCAAATTAATCAGCCTCATGTGTGAGACTTTTAAAAAGCCCAAAACTCCTAAAAAATATATTGTGGTTCTTTACACTAGGAAGCTTTAAATCTTCTCCCTCTTCCTCTTTTTTAAAAATGAAAACAAAACAATGGATCTTTATTTCTATGTCTGGGATCTCAAATTTGGCTCTGAATATGTGTTTCAAATCTCATTAATTACAGTATTGGCCCCATGAGATACAGCTGCTGATGCAAAGAACATTCTTTGTACTCCAAATAATTTGAACAAGGGCAAAGAAACATTTTATTTACCTGTGTAAACATGCAGAGGAAAATAAAAGAGACGGTTCAGGTAGCTGCTGAGATGTTTTAATGGTAATTGATTTGATTGCTTAAGCTTTACGGTTACCATGTATAGGAATAGCCATGTTTTCACTCTGTGTATTTGTTGGACGATAACATTCTTGTAAAGGTAACTGACATTAACTTGGCAAGTTCTGAACTAAGACCTTTTAGCATTTTATTCTTGCAGATACTAAGACCAAATTGTTCTGAATTCCATAACCCACTGTGCAGATCTATAATTTATTTATTTTTCAAATATCAGAAAATATGCCATTACACAAAGGACTCTTCCGTGTAACAAATCTGGGTAAAATACAATAAAAGGAATAAATTACAGCAGTAGACAGCAAACGGCCTGTCTTGTTTTCTTTCATTTTCCTTTCTCTTTAGGAAATAGCAAAATAAACCATGGCTATTTGTGGTCTTGTACTATAAACTATCAGAACACATATGGCCATACATTTTCATGTTATTAACAAACTTGTTGGCTCAATGAGTAGAAAGTAAAGTCTATTGTAAAGATGGTCTAATGCCTTACATGGGAAGGGTCAACTACTATGTATAGCCACAACCTAAAAATCTCTTTCTGAGATCTGATGGTGTCCATTGGTTGTCTTTAGATGGATACTGAAGAGCAGAGTTAAGCAGTCCTGGTTACACATAAGAATCACTTGGAACTTAAAAAATACAGATACCTGGGTCCATCTCCAAGGTTTCTGATTTAGTTAGCCTGATTTATTCTAGGGAGGTCCCAGGTCTTGTATTTAAAAACAAACAAAAATGAATAGCAACAAAAACCTTCCTAAGGCAATTCTATGTGCCACGACTGAGAATCATGGTTAAAGAATCCCAGCATGGGTGCAAGGACAATAACTAATTTCTTTTCAGATAACAGTACAAAGCCCTCTCTTGGTTTTTAATGGAAACCTTACTTTATTCCAGGTGTGGGCAGGAGCACGGATCAGCAGCTGCCAGGAACCCCCTCCTTGACAGGATTCCCTAAGCAGCACCTTGTAGGGAATGTTCTACGGGGGATGGAGCTCTGAGCGATAATAATTTTCTGGGTTAAAGCCAATGGAAGTAGATAATTGAACAACAAATTACATAATGCTAACCTGAAGGTAGAGTCTGTAAACAGTGGGAGCCTTACACACATCTGAGTATTCTGAGCAACAGTTCTTAAGAGAGAGGCTTCCTGGCTCAGCGTCGCTCCTCGTTCTTCAGAGTCTACGAATGCCATGTCCCTGCTACCAAATCACTGCAGGTCATTAAAAAGAGAAGGAGAATTTTGAGTTAGAAATGGCAAATTATTTCTCTTGGAAATGAATCAACTTAAGCTCTTGTGACACCCCCCCCCACACACTTTCTTTATTCTCGCTTCTATTGGCTGAATTTCTGTCCTTTTAATCAAAGCACTTGTACTTTTATCTTTTTATTATAACGTCCGTCCTTATAAAGTCCGTCCTCTATTGTTTTGGCCACCTTCAAAAGAATATTCTATGACTTCTTCATTTAATGCTGTTTCTTTTATTCTTCTTTCCTGTCTTTTTACACTTTCACCTGTTCCTACTTTTTTTTTTTTTTTTCATTTTCCTTAACACCAGTTATAATAGGTCCTTCCTCTTCCTTTTCCCCCAGGTTTTGATTTATGTTTGATTGCCAACCCCTTTTCTGATTCTCTCTCATTTTTACCAACTGCCCTTCCTCAACTTTCTGTTGATGTTTTATTTCTATCACTTGCTGTCAATGCCCACACAAGCCTATTTCTTTCCATGCCATCTATCTTTTTATCTTCATATGAACTTTTATGATACTCCTACTAAAAGCTTAAAGCTATGTGTGAAGAACAGAAAGGTGCACCTTCTCCATTTGAATCTATGTCGTCTCCCCTCCCATAGCTGTTTCAGGTCTGCCGGTCCTTTCCTGGTATTTCCCCTGGTGCAACCCCCACCTGCACTCCCCCCTCCCCTCCCTCCCTGTTTGATGCCCATCTTTTTTTTCTAACTCCACTTGCTCCGTTTGATTTTTACATCCAAAGGCCTCCCCAGTATAAAAGTATGGAGTTCTCTCCTGGGAACCACGTTGTGTGTGTTTCAGAAACTTTTGCACATCTACTGAAATGGGATGGGATTAGGGGCTTAGATTCAGAAATAGTCTCAGGCAGCCTTTCAGCTCTGGCACGGCTTCGCACACCTTGGAGCGTGGAGCGCGGCTGGGCCTATTCTGATGGACCAGGCCAGGGATGTCCTTAAAGGCCTCCTATGACCCTTCCCGCCGCAGCGCTCAGGATGAGCAGCCGCCACCCGTCAGGGCTGGAAAACCAGGCCAGGTGGGATGACTGGGGCCTTCTGCAGCAGCTCTGGCAGGGGGCTGGTGCGCGGTGCAGCGCGGGGCTCTGGGGGCGCAGGGGCAGGGGCGAGGGGCACCGAGGCCCTGGGAGTCACCGGGCCATCTGCGGGAGGCAGGCTCACCTCTAACGAGAGGAGGCAGGCCCGAGGCCGGGTGCTCCCTTGGGGCGCAGGGCGCGGTCCCAGGAGCCGGGCGGCGCCACTCCAGCGGCGCCAATGACCTGAGGCGCAGTCACTCCCCAGGAGGGTAAGCGGGCTGCTCCCGGTCGCTCTCCCGGAAGGTCGAGGGAACGGCGCGTGCATCCCTCGCCAGCCGGCCCTCCGGGAGCTGGGCGGGGGCGACACCCCAGGGAGGGGACTGAGGGCGGCCGAGATCAATGCTGGGTAGGGGCGCCGGGCCACCGAAGCGAGAGAAGCTGGAGAGGAGGCTGGTGGGGGGGCCCCAAGGGCGGCTGGGGCCGTAGGTCTGTCCGTCTACTCGGCCGGCGCCCCGAAGTCTGGGGCCGCCACCACTCCCGCTCCGCCGGCTCCTGCCAGAAACTCCAGGCCGCACTTTCCCCTCCTCCCCGCGCCTTCTCTCCAGTGAGGAGCCGGGCGCGGGCGGCGCGGGGGGAGGGACGGCGGCGGAGAGAACAGCCAGTTGTTTAAAATCCTTCTAGAGCAGTTTCTAATTCCCCCCTTGCGCCGGGGTTCGGAGGGGGGAGGGGGGGAAGGAGAGCGGGAGGAGGGAGGAGAGCGGAGAGGGAAGGAGGGAGGGAACCCGGGAGGGAGGGAAGGAGGGAGGAGACAGCCTCTCTGGCTGTAGCCGCCGCCGCGCGCTCCGGAGGGCTGGAGGGAGGGGGAGGCCTGTCAGTCTCGCGCGTTGCCTGGGCGAAGGGGGCGGAGCTTTGGCGTGGAGCGGCCAATAGTGGGGGTGGCTGCGTGGGTCGCCATGGGGACGGGGCTGTTCCCGAGGAGGCTGTGATGGGTTGACAGGTGCGTGACAGTGGGAGCTGCTCTCGGCACAAGCATGTACGGCAAAGGCAAGAGTAACAGCAGCGCCGTCCCGTCCGACAGCCAGGCCCGGGAGAAGTAAGTGTCTCCGCTTCTCACCCACCTCCGCCTGCACACGCGCGCACACACATGCACGCACTCGCGCACTCTCTTGGAGACACACAGATACACAGACACTCTCCGCCCGGGGAGAGCCGGGGGTGGGCTGGCAGGGGGAGGGGTACGCGAGCTGGGGGCACGCGGTGCGGGGAGCGGCTGTCTCCCAAGTGGTGCT